CGCCGTCCCCTTCCGGCGGCGCGCGAAGGCCGACGGGAAATGGAGTCCCACTCGGCTGGTGCGCTATGGGAGCGGGGGGCGACTCCAACTCCCAGGAGCCCTTGCGCGGGGATGGGGATGGGGATGGGGGTGGAGCGGGGGATTCTCCTCAGGGCTGTGGAGGGGGCAGGGGTCCTTCTCCTCAGGGAGGGCCATGCGCCCCGCACCTCTCTCTCTTGTCCCATTCAAGGCCTCTCGCATGCTCCTAGTCGTGCCAATGGCGACGCCACAGTTGACATCAGCAACCCCGCAGTTGACATCATTGACCCTGCAGTTGACGTCATCGACCAGCAGTTGACATCAGCAACCCTGCAGTTAGCATCAGTGACCATGCAGTTGACATCAGCAACTTTGCAATTGACATCACTGACCCCGCAGTTGACATCAGCAACCGGCAGTTGGCATCAGCGACCAGCAGTCAACATCAGCAACCCCGCAGTTGACATCATCGACCAGCAGTCGACATCAGCAACCCCGCAGTTGACATCAACGACCAGCCGCCATTTATTTCGGCGTTATGGATACCTATTTGAAATCGCAATCAGGACTCATAGTAGAGATGATCTCTTTTATTAGAGCAACAAGATTTTTGCAAAAAAACAATTATTTCATTGCAAGCTTTTGGGCGCAAACACCGTTCATCGGGCATTGGAGAAAACAAAGATTGTAAAAGTTGTCCTGTTCGAAATCTCTGGGTTTATCTTGTAAAATGTTGGTGCAGGTAACAGTGCGTGGCACCTTGTGGCACCCTTAAAAGGATCTCGGTGCATCTCGGTGGCTGGGAATCGCTGCCCTACAACCTCTCTTGGATCCAAAGCACATAATAATGCACCTGCCGGAGTGGGGACAAGCAGCCGGTCCCACCTTCTGTTCAGCCGGGTCTCCAATCGTGCCTCAGTTAGGCACAAAATTGTAACCGGAGCCAACATTTCCCTCCCCTGGTTGAATTTGCTGGCCTGGTGGAGCTCACATGTCCTGCCCATGCCTGGCAAAGTCACTGCAGCGATCGCATCCCTGCAGCACATCCTCACTTAGGTTGCCATAGTGATAGGAGGCAATGCAGAGAGATGCGATCATTTCAGAATCTCTCCAGACAATTGATGCTGAAGGGGGAGGCAAGCAGGGTTGCTGCTTATGACCTGTGCGGGGCTAGAAAAGCCCATACTGGTAATGCAAGCCTGGGGACCCCTAGGGACCCATTGCACTCCAGAGAGATGGGAAACAGTGGAGAGATCACGTTTGTAGGCATGAAAAATTCATCTGTAAAGGGTGGGGAGTGAGGATGAGGGGAGCAGAGAGGGAAAAAGGAGAGGCAACAAAGGGATGCTGGGTGGAGGAAGAGATAAGAACAGCTGCACGGAAGAGATGTTGGAGACAACTGATACAAGAGGAGACAGACTGAAGTAAATAAGGGTTTAAACAATGTGGAGCAGGATAACAAAAGAGATCATTTAAAAGCTTAAGTTGTAGGAGGGAGCTTTCCTTCACATGAAAAATGTGGATCTCTATTCCGTTTCAAGGATTTCTGGTGCATTTTCCAAAGCCCTGTTTTCTGGAGGTGGCCAATAAATAATTCTCATTCAAGCCAAGGGGTATTATTTCATACCTATTATTTAGTGGCTGTTGAGCAAAGGCCTACGGCTTTAATCAGTTCAGTGTCATAAAAGTTCAATTTAGCCTGTAACAAAATTAAGCCAGCAGAAGGTAAAAAAAAAAGGCTGAACTCAGTCAAAACAAAAAGGTCTACTGATACCACCCAAGGACTGTGGTAAGAATATGTCTGGTAAACAAGAAGAGACCAGAAATAGATGGAGCAAACTTGGTGCACTGCCAATTAGTCCCAAATGATGAACAAACTAATTAGACACTGATGCCAGGAGAACAGCTAGCAAGGCACGAGCAAGCTTTATAGCTGTGGCTGCCACATGCCTCATCTCCTTGGATCCCAGGATCCAGCTTGATACTGTTGGATCTTTATCCCCCTGTTTCTGAAAACCCATGTCTAGTATGGGTATTATAGGCCACCCAAAAGAGAGGGATCCATACGTCTTTGCCAGTCCATCTGTGAGCTTGTGACTATAAGGCTCAGGACAAGTGTAGTGGCTTCTTAACCTGGCCGGGGAAATACCATGTACCTGTGTCCAAGAAGGCAGTATCCTGAAGGGCTACCTGGGAGAACTGCTCTTCTGGCATGGTTCAGTACCCGCCGAGGTGCAGAGGCTTTAAGCCCAGTTTATGGAAATGGGAATCTCCTCCCTTGCTTGCTCTTAGGGCCTTATGGCTAAGGGCCAGCAAAATTCGGGGGCATACAAAGTAGGATTCCTGCCGAAGGTTTTGAAACCATCTGAAGCCTCAGGTGCAGATGAAGGATGTTTGCCAGTAGTAGGGCCACTTATGGCTTTGGACTCTTAGATTTGGAATTAGTTTTGGTTAATTTGGCTGTGGATACAAATTAATTTAAAAAAAATAAAGCAGCTAAAAACAAGATGTTAAATAGTCCAGCAGTGGTACAAGGTTCCCAGGTCTCAGCGTGGCTAACAAAAGCATGCACTGGGCATGTCTCTAGCAGCTTTCAAGAAGAATCAGCAAGAAGAATCAAGAAGAAGAATCTGTGTGCTTGCTCACCCCTTCTGTGATGGCTGTTCTTAAAGTAAAAGCTTCACTTTATATTTCAGATCTTGCAGCTACCTTCCTTCACCTTCATTTTTCTGTTTCTTTATCTTTAATGTAGGGCTAATATGATTTTTAATGGCAATTATGTGTCATGGAACTAAGCAAACCAAGATCTTCATCCTTGAAATCATGAAGCTTATGTAACTATTTAATAATGTGCAACGACGGGGGCTTGTTAACACCCTTGACACTTTCTGTTCTATTGTTTCATCAAAATTGACATAACAGGTAGCCTGTTATGGGCCTAAAGATAAGGGTAGGGCCTAAAGATAAGAGTAAGGCCTAAAGATAAGGCAACACAAGAGAAGTCCCTCGAACCGTTCACATTGGCGCTACTGTGGGGTAAGAATAACCCCAATGAGGGAGCTTGTATTATGTGAGCTTTATGTTTCAGGGAGCAGACGCTCATGCTTTTGATGTATGTGCAGACTGGGGTGTCTGCAAGGGACACTGGAGGCCACTGGGGTGCAGCAGGGACACCCAGCTCAGAGCAATCCTGGGGCCCAGGACCCCAGGGTGTTGAGTCCAGATACATTCAGAGGGAAGATTGTGGCATGTCAGAGGACTGCATATCTGATAGCAAAGACTGGAGAGTGTAACTCCTGGCCCCGCAGCAGTGGTACTTAAGGGCCAAGTGGTCCAGAGCCCATGAGGGGCTAGAGCTGGAGCCTGAGAACAGAGGGTCCTGGTGCGGTGGATCCCAGGCAGCAGGACCCAGACAGATTAAAAGTGAGCCAAGCTGGGAAGGACCTGGGTCTAGGCAAGGACCTTCCCCAAAACCTGCATCTGCCTGCTGGGAGCAGCCTCCCTGTGAAATTATAACATCAAGTCGTGGCAGGAGAGATAACTGTTGAGGGTGAAGGACCCAGAGAGTATGGAAACAAGGGTGAGGAGGTCGGAGCCAGGCAGTGA